GTCAGGGCAGTCCTTGCAGTCAGTTGGTTCTGATACTCTTCCCTTCCCCATGCTGATGGAGTACACAATCTGCTTTGGAATGAAAACTTTGTGTCAGCCATCGATTTGATGTTTGTTTTTCCCTCTCCCATTTGGCTGGTGCATACTCGAGGTTGCACTCTATGAAATTGGCTTTAAAAGAATCTTTGTGAATTTGGGGTAAATGTCACTTGGTGCTTTAACTGTAATTGTTCTCCGTGTCAGTTTAAATACCTTTAAAAATAAAACTATGCTGGTGAAGATCAGGAAAACCTGAATTGATTATTTCTTCCTAGCCTTTAAATAAAGGGAGACTAGAGTCAAGGACCAATGAACAGAGCTCTTTGGGGTTTTGCATTTTTATTTTTTTTTATTTATAGTGATAGCCTTCATCTTAGATATTTTTATATTATAAAATTAGTTTTAATACATGACTTACCTGAATTTCTGCACCTATATAATTCTCTCTGGATTGGAGTACATTTAGATCACATCCTGGTTTATTTTTTAACTGTTAATTCTGTTGAAGGAGTGGAATTACTAGGGGAGGCACAAAGGGAGGTGTCAGAGGAAAAATTAGGTAATGAGTTGGGTTTTGATCTGTTTTAGACTACACATGATCTATTTTTTAGTTCTTATTTAGAACTTTAATCCCATATCTCATTGTGGACTCACAAGACCAAGATACCTGTGGCAGGTGTATGCTTATATGAGTATGGTATGGGGGACTGTTTTTGGATGAAAGGCGGAAATTTCTGTTAGAACACCACCTGCTGAAAAGCAGGGAATGAAGTACTGAAGTTAAACACAAGAAAACCCCATCAAACCCACAGAGCAACAACCCACCAGATCTTTCTTTTTTATATGAAGAAGTAGTCAGATGTTAGTCTCTGGTTAAGAGGGAGGAAGATAATTTCAGTAATCTCTATTCTGCTCTCCCTTCCTCTCAAGTGTTACCTGCCTGGGTTAACGAATGTAGTAACAGTTTACTTCTGTAACAATCTAAAGCACAAGGTGCTTATTGTAGAGGAAATCCCTTTTGCTGTAATGATCCTCATTGCTGTAAGTGCCCCACTGTGTTCTTGCTGTCAGGAACTGTGTCTGGGTTAAGCTTATTTGAAGGGAATTAGAACACGTGCAGGGCTTGGTGGTGGTGGTGTGGCAGACGCAATAGCTGCACCCTTCTCTCTGATGCAAGCCACAGTGCAAATGTTTCCCAACACCTCAGACTGACGTTTTTGAAGACCTCTTAAGGTCGAGTGCATTTCATAAGAGATTAAAGTTATAAGCAGTTTTCAAAGGGAAATAAAGTGGCTGCTCGATTTGGGGTTGGAAAAATACATTTTGGCTCACTTTATGCAAGGGACATCTTGACTACAGACTTGACAGGGGAGCAGCTGGAATTGGGTTTGCTTGTTGCTTTTGTAGGAGATGAAGCTTTTAAAATATGTACAGGTACAGAGACTTTGTCTTAAACCAGACCTTTCAAAATTTCAAATAAAAGGACGGGAATTGCTCAGACAAGAACTTGCATTTTAGGGAGCAAAATTTTAGAGTTGACAGGTATCTGTTGAGCCATCAACTATGTATCCAGGGGATTTCTTCCAGCAGATACCTATTCAGTTTAAAGAGAAGTAGGTGCTGTGTAATGAACTTCTTAGCAAGAGGGTTATGATTAAATTAGGCTGCTGAAGTCTGTCTCTTGCAGTGGGAACCCTGTTAGCCTAATTTCCTATTCATGTAAAATGAAAGTATGCATTTTGTTTGTGTACTTGTAACACACACATCCTGGATAATTCTGGAGGGTTGAAACTGCCTTTATAAAAAAAAAAAGCTTCAGAATGCACTGGTCATAATGAATTGAATCATTTGTTTGCTGTTGTGTAACATTTTGACAATGTCTCTGAGAAAGGATTACAAAGTCCCCACCATAAGCCAATGGGTGTATACTGAAAAGGAGGATGGTAACTTCGTTTCATTCATGGGAAGTAAAATGTTAAGTTTGCCTACAAGCGTGTTCATAATAGTCATTGCATCCCAAAAAGCCTTTCTGCGTGGTGGTTTAGTAAATGGTGCTATAATCTGAGAAAACATTTTGCAGGAGTGATGCTTTCATGTGAGCAGCTTTATACAACATAGTATGAAAGAAGGTCTAGTAACTGTGGGATTTCCAGATTCCTTTGACAGTAGTTCATCCAGAAGAGGATTTCTTTTTCCCATTAATTTAGGTTTTGGGTTTTTTTTAATGTCCAGTTCACAAATACCCAGTGTAAACCAGCAGTGTTGTGAGATCAGTTCTGTCCCATGTTCCTTGTGCTTTTGTTCCAATTCCCGTTTGCTGCCTTGCAGAGCTGTTATATTCATTATGTGAATGTGCCATGGGGCAATGTCAGCAAACAGCCTGGGTTTGGAAAGCTGAATCTTCTACTATCAGTTTGCTGCTTCTGTTGCTGGTGCAATTTCCTAGTAGAGGAGGATTGGGGGGAGGCTTTCCCTGCTGCTGCTGCCCACATGTTTTCCAATTAAATGCCACCTGCCATGAGCTGCCTGTTTTTACAGAAGAAAATTCTCTAAATCTCTGCAGGGAAATTACTGTAGCAGCTGCTGGCTGCTGTGTGTATTTCCCTTATGGTAGAAAGTGAGCTTCAGACTTGTCATACAGCTTGCTAAAAGACATCTTATGTCCCAGTTATAAGCATCACTGAGTTGGGCATGAGTAATACATTAATAGCTTATTTGAAAAGGCATGCAGAAAACTCTGTTTTCTCAAGTCTATACTTAATTTGTTGGGGTTTCTTTGTTTGGTGGTTTGTTTTGGGGTTTTTTTATGTAGGTTTGTGGAGGGTTTTTTATTTGGGTTTTTTTTGTATATTTTTATTGTTGGGGGTTTTTTTATTATTTTAAGTCTAAGGCTCCTAAGTAGGAAAAATGAGGATTTGTGATGCAAGTAAAGTTCTGGCTGTGCAGATAAATGACGGCTGTCCATCCCCTGGTCTGCAGGTTGAATGCCTGTGTGATCTTTCCCTAACCTGTTCTGGTCAAAAGAAATTAACCTGGGAATGATCTACTGTGCAAACTATTTTGAGGTAATTTATTAATTTTTTGTCTGAAATGTGCCCCAGGCACCTCTGTTGATGACAGAGGGGGGGCATTGAACCACTGAGGATTGCACTCCTAAGCTGTAGGTGCTGCCTCTCCATGCATGCTGCTCGTTCATTCTGACAGGACTTTTGTGCATGTGCACATGTCAGTTATGTAACTATGCTGCGTGTTCCTACTCAGATGGACGCCTTTATCTCCCTTCTATCTCTTTCAAGCTTCTGGAACAGAAATAGATTATTCAGGCCTGCTTTTTTTTTTTCTCCTCCATTCAAAAAGGGATGTCTGCTTGAGCCAGACTGTTGGTGGAGCTGACTTGTATATATTTGGTTGTTATAAATTTCCTGCACTGTTGAGAATTGACTAATGAATCAAACATAATATATTTTTCATTTGAAAGTAATTTCTGTAAGGGCTTGAAAGTGTGAACAAAAGACTTTTGATCACATTTAATTTCATATTCTTTAGTTACTAGCAAAATGTCTGTACTGTTTATTCCTTAATATGTTTCAATTTAAATGAACTTTAATCCTGGCTAGACCTGATCTGCTTCACTGGCAAATAGTGTAGATGCTGTGCTTGCTAATGAATGTAAGGAAGCTGGCTTTCCTATCTGCCCATAACTTTTTTCTACCTTTCAGAACTTCAACCTACTGCCTTTTAAAAGGCTCCATATATTCATGTTAACTTTCATGTTGCATTTAAATATTTAATTCATGTAAACATGATTTAAAAAGCTGTTTTGTTTATAAGTATTAGTATAGTGTCCCAGCTACCAAAGAAAGTGGATGTTGCTTGGTAAGGTAGATTATAAAATCTTTCATTAATGGCCAAATAACAGCAAAATCCCCCAGATTGCACAGCAGTACAGCATGTCTATCCATTGAGCAATTTCTCTGCAAAAATTATGTAGTTGAGAGAGCTTTGATTGAAGAAATAAACTTAAATTTATGTACAAGCAGGCAGATGAAATGGAAAACAATTCAGGTCTTTAAGTTTTAGACTAATAGCTGAGATTCTAGATAGAAACTATGTGAAATTATTAAAATATTGGATATATTAAACTGTTTTTCTTCAGTACCATTAAGACAAATGTGCATGTTGATTTCTCTAGTACCTGGTTATTTGAAAAACTGTGTGTACACAAGCACATACACTTCCCACACTTCGGGATACATGGCATATCTGAGTACTGTGAATTTCTTTCTCTGTGCACCAAGTTTCCCTTTGCCCGAAGGTCATTTAATTGCAGTTTTCAAAACACTAGGCACCATTAAAAGAAATAATTGTAAAAGAAGTTTGAGTATTGTATTAGCGTGTACTTCTGAGATTAATTGTATCTTAAGCAGATAGCCTTTGGATAGCTGGCTGAAAACATTCCTTATCACCTTGGGAAACCGGAGCTGTCCTCTGCAAGCACAAAAAACCAGTGGGCTTGGAGACAAGGGATGCTCAAAGCTGGGAAAAGAAAACTGCTACAAGGTTCATGAACCCTATCTGAACTTTAGAATATGGTAACAAAAACTGAAGGCATCTATTGTCTTTAACAGACATTAGGCTTTTCTATAAAACTAATTAGAGGGAATTATAAGTACCATGTGCTCAAAAGAAGTGGACAAGATTGCAGAACTCTGGACCACAAAAGTGTTAAGGTATATAAACCTGATGTGATCCTAAGAAACAAATGTGGGTGTTTTTGTTCAGAAGCTGAACCAAGTCTTTTTGCCCTACCATGGGAATTTGGAGGTGGACAGGGTAAAGCAGAAATCATTAAACACTTGCTGCTTCTCCAAGCACACTTGCTTGAATCTCCCAAGTGTGGCCTGCCTTGAGCACAGCTTGGAGAATTTTAACGGATTCCTTCAAGTGCAAGGAATGATGGCATGGTTGGATCTTCTTTTTATACTGGTCTGAAGGTAAAGCTTTCTCATTGAATTAAAGGAAGTTGGTTTTCATTCTTTAATGGGTAAAAATACTGTCATGTGCTTGTATGTCCTGTAGGAAAGAGCAAAACCTAAATTGTCCTTGCTTCCATTACGCTGTGTAATGTGTTGTCCTCCAGTGTGTAACTCACTGCCCATGGCTCCCAGCTGCAGATTTGTTTCACACACATGTCAGAGGTATTAGATCAAAGGCATTATTCCCTTGTACAAGAGCATCTCTGAAAGGTCTTGATAAACCCATTGAAGTCTTACTTCCAAAACTTGTCTCCCTGGCACGCTCAAGTACTTTCATCAGTCTTTGAAATACTGACATGTGTAGCAGTATGCATACGTGGCAGAAGTAGCCTTTCAGGATGACACAAATTAAAAAAAAAAAAATGAACTTTTAACATTTACTGAACATCTTGGAACTCACAACATTTTTCTACTTCTGCACAACACCAAAATAAACAGATGGTAGAAAATGTAGTGGTCAGAAGTTGGCACATTCAAATCTGAACAAAATGGGCTCAAAATTCCAGAACTTTCATCTTGTTGCTTAATTAGGTATTGTCTACAGGAGGGGAAAAAAGCAGTTGGGTACCTGTGTTGCCTTCTGAAAAGCAGGGAGTGTCATGTCATGGTCCTGCTTACTGCTTTAAGTCACTGCAGAGAATGTGTTTTCTCAGAGTTGCTAAGACATTTATTCAATCCTTCCTCGAGCAGCTATGCTCAGCTGACATGCTCATTTGCAAATACCCCAACATCTGCCCACTGAGGGCCCTGCTATAAAATGTATGCTTGCCCATTTCCCAGCACCAAATCTACACAAGCGACTCACTAACTTTCCTTTGTTCATTTCACCAGTCAAAATTCTTTTAAAATATAAAGAAGTCATGTGTTTTCTCAACTATACTTTTATGCAATATCCACAGAGCAAATTCCCAGAGCCAATTTCCTAGACATTAGACTAATGGCTTAGTGGAAATTAAGCAGGAACACAGAACCCAAGTAGGCTGTTTCTTCATATTGACCTGCCTTAAATTTTTCAAATTGCTCCATTAAGCACAGCATGGCTAAAGGCAAAATGTCAAGCCCTGGCCTGGATGCTTTGAACTGCAAACAGACTAGTGATTCTGAGGAACATGGCTGGTATTCAGGGTGGTCTTATTAAGCCACTGTTGATGTAGCTGTAAATACCTTGGGGCCCTTACTGCCCTCATCAGAGCCTGCAGTGAGAGGCCTGTGTCAAACTGAGAGTCTCTTGAGAGGAAAGGCTGAGTTTTACACCCAGAATGTTCTCAGGGTCAACAGCCAATCAAGCTGTAACTAGCGATGAAAGGCTCTCTTAAGAGTTTTGGGATCCAAGTCCCAGAATTAAAATGCCTTCTGTAATATCTTATGTTGGGGAAAATGGATAGGATCTCCTAACAAAGTGAATCCTCCGTGGAGTTGCCTGGAAGTACTGTAACAAAATAATATTATTTGTTACTTGGCACTTTTGTGCCTGGATTTTTGGGAGCCTTGAGAATGTAAAATAACTGTAGGTATAGTTAATGAAATGTCTAGTCCTCAGCATCTTTGAGCAATTGAGCTTATTTGAGGCTGCATAAAATCTGTCTAAATGGGAAAGAAGATGGCAATGCAGAGTATAATTTTTCATGTTAGAATTTATAGTTAAATAATTTTTTTAAGATATAAACTTTTTCTAAGTTACTTTTTATGATTGGTATAGCTCATTGCTAAACTAAAGCTGTCTTAAGCTGATAACATTGTCTTAAACTTTTTAATTTGTAATGCTGTGAGAGTTTGCATCCTGTGCAAATAGTCAAATGGATCCATTCCTTTCTTGTTCCTTTTATACTCGCCCAAATGGTTTTGAGCATTTCCCTGGGAAGGTATTTAAATAAGTCACTTTCTTCTTTTGTTGCTGTGTTCCCAGGATGCCAAGTGCACGACTTTGGAGATTTGAATTTCACTCAAGTTCCCAATGATGAACTGTACAACAACCTGATTTTATATCCGCGGTCGGTGGGCTTGGCCAGCCAGATACTGGCTGATGCAGTGAGCAGAGCAGTAGCTGCTGGACACAGATGTGTGACTTTAGGAGGTGATCACAGGTGAGCTGACCTAAAAACAATTAGTGGTTCATGCTGCAGGTTGACACTTGGAGTACAGGAGTTTAATGTAAAAAGCAAGGAGACTGGACAAATAACTGGGGGGTCATTTCTTGGCAACACCTTACGGTTGGACATTTAGGGGAACATACAAGGCAGCTACAAAAACCTGACCTTCTCAGACAGTACTGACCAGTTCCAGACTGGTCTGTGATCAGTTGTGTAGACACATTTCCTCTTTGGGGAAGTTTGACTCATCAGGTTCCTTCAGGGGAACTGTTCAGTTTCTTTATTTGCTGAATGTTTAGTGATGTGTCTCTTTAGCCCATCACATCTTAGGATAGGTTTGTAATGCCTACACCGAGACAATTTTGCAATAGATCTTACATAATGAATCTTTTTCCTTTTTCACTAACATTTGGTCTGAGAATTGGTTAAGATGGTAGGGCATGTAAGAAGGAATTGTGGGGGAAGGTGTCATGACTAGAATAAAAAAAGGCTATGTTTTCTGGGGCATTTGGATCTAGAGCAGGTGAAGATTAAGTGTGTGGGAAGGGTGACAGCAGAAAGCTCTGGCTTATCTGTCACTACAGCCCTATAGTTACTTGGCCTCCTGGAATCACAGCAGCAGCATGCCCTGCAGTTTGTATGGGATGTTTCCTTTATTGTCACAGATGTCTGATGTGAGGAAATGTAACAACATGGCTGACTGAAGCTGAGAGACTTCCCATTGTCCTTGTAGTTGTCTGGAGGAGAAATGGTCACTAAAGACTTTATTACTGTACTTCCAGCTTGGCACTTGGCTCTGTCAGTGGCCATGCACGGCAGTGCCCACACCTTGGAGTGATCTGGGTGGATGCACACGCTGATATCAACACGCCTCTCACAACTCAGTCTGGAAGCCTCCACGGACAACCTCTCTCATTTCTCCTGAGGGAGCTTCAAAATAAAGTGAGTATCCTGATTGTTATTATCCTACATGGCAACCTCAGAGCATTGCACCATTGCTGATATAGGGTCCTTTCTTGCCTGCTGCAAGTGCAGATCTTTTCTATCAGAGCACAAGGAAAGATACGTGATTGTGTGTGTGCATGTGCACATACATGCACACATATATACAAGTGCCACAAACACATATAAACACAGATACAGACACAGAAACACAAATGAGAAAAAGCTTTTCTTTGTGTTAGCACCCTCGTGGGCTGCACAGTGAGCTGCACACAGCTGACTGTGGTTCTCCTGTGTCACAAGTTGTTGCCAAGGCTGGGCAATGGCAGCACTGCTACCAACTGAGCAGGAACCTCCCCTCAGCCCAGCCTGTGAGAGCCGAGCTGAGCTCACCTCCAGAAACAGCTGGTTCCTGCATACCTTGCACGCTGCTTCTGCTTAGTTTGGCTCTTCCATGTTTTGACAACCTTGGGGCCTGACAGGGGCTGTTCCTGTATGATCTCTCCTAACTGGCTGCTCTGGCATTGGCTGTACTGTAAATATTACAAATCAGAACAGCTGTAACTGCTTGCAGTGAGCTTTTAAAGAGAGAGCCTTTTTCTTGGAGAAGAGGTTAAATTATCAAAAAAGCTGTTTCCTGGGGCACAGGAAATGTGCATGGCCCATTTTTGCTGCTGTCAAGATGCTGAACCTTAGGCTGACCTAAGGCCTATGTACTCTGCCTGGCCTATGTGAGCTGTATCACCCTGTACAGGGACCTGCAGCACCGTGCAGTGAACAGCGAGGCCTCTGCAGCAGGGACCTTGGTACAACAACCTGCTTCTGCTGAAGCTCAGGCTGGAGAGAGAAAGCAGGATCAGCAACTGCATCTTGAGAATGGATACTGGAGCTGCAGAAAACCTGACTGCTTTATTTTGGCACTCTGCATTGCTTGTTATTATTCCTAAATTTCTTGTTTCTCTCTGACTAATTTGGGGTTCTGTGCTGCTGGAAGTATGCCCTTTCCAAGCAAGAACAAGTATTTTTAAATCTATATGGCTACTGAAGATACCAGTGCATCAGTTCCTGTTCAGCATGGCAATACAGCAGTCATCTCATAAAGCTCTTCTGCTTTTTCTCTTGCAAATTCTTTTGAATTATTTCCATCCACAAGTTTGGTGCTTTTATATACTTCACTCTTTCTAGTCATGTCTAAGATGCAGATGTGTTGGAATTCCCAAAGTAATGCAAAACTAAATGTGGCTTTTTGAAACACCCCCTGAATGTGAAAAGGTTACTGTACTTCTACTTTTTTGCCCATAAGTTAAAGAGGGTGATTTTTTTTTTCTTTTTGACAACTTTCTTAAGGGAGATAAGAAGAGAAAGAGACAATTTTGTGAATTTTAGGGGTCTCCTAAGGTGAACAGTTTATGGCTTGGTGGGAACAAGGAAAAACTAAAGTTCTGTGAGAGCTGAGGAAGGAGAAGATACTGGTCTGCTGGGTTCCGGCTTTTTTGACATGCTAAAAGAATACCTGTAAGCTTTCTGGGGTGAGTGGGGGAGCAGCTTTCTTGTGAGCAGCAGTAGTGAAGAGAGAATAGGATTAGGCTATGCTTAGTGGCAAGCTACTCAGGCATGGTGCTGGTTATGGGGTCTTGTCACCAGCCCAGCTCAACTCCAGCAGCGCAGATGCCTGTGCAGAAGGCGCTCACACAAGACTTGGCTGTGCACTTGCACAAACAGGTATGTGCACTCAGCTGGGGTTTTTCTTACCCTACTGTATTCCTGTATAGAGGGTGGAAAGCCAACTAAGTCCTGCTGGTAGCATGAGGCTTCTACAGCACTATGAATTTTTAAACAGCTCTTTAGCAGTAGCAGAATGTGCCTTTGGCAATGGTTTGTCTGGTTAATGTCCCTCTGACTCTGGAGCAAACTGTTATGTGTACTGGATGAGAGTAAGAGGGTGAGCCACACCAACAGAGGGTGTGGCTCACCCTCTTACTCTCATCCAGTACAGCAGTTGAGTCAATAATGGGACAAAAAAAATTATCATCCTTTCCTGACTGCTTCAGGGCTCCTGGAACCATCCAAATTCACAAACTGCTATAATACCTTCCCACAAAATGCCTGCACCTCTGGCTGATGCAACTCCTTTTCCATTGTAACAAAGAACCTGTCAAAGGCAGTTAATACATTCAATTTTATTTATTTGCAAACAAAGTGGGGTAATTGCAGCTTTAGTCTACTGAATCATTGATACTAGATAATATTATCTGACAATATTATCATTATTATGCTCAGTTTATAGTGTGGTGATGAGTTTTGCAGAATTCATTTTTGAAACCTGAATTTATTTTTCCTAGTGCTCTCCAATTCATTTATCCCTTTTCTTAATTTATGTCTAGAGAAATTTCAGGTCATTGTCCTAGAGTAGCAAATACTTTTATAATCTGTGCTAATTTAGCCCAATGCAATTACATATGGCTATGAATGTGTTAACTATTAAAAACATCCAATATTGTAATCAGAATATAATTAGTAACTGAGAAGTCTAGGAGGGAAACAAACCCTTCTAGAAGCTTGACAGCTATGTTGGCTGTAGCCATTTTCAGAGCTGAAAGAAGAGTAATTTGAGTTAATTTAAATGTCTTAAAATTAGTAGGCATTACTAACTGAATGTTTTTATAATTCCATACTGTGACTACTTAATTACCAAAGCTGAAAAATTATGACTTCATAATCTTTCAGTTGCTGTCCTTGACTTACTCGCTTCAATTCTGCATGAGAAGCCGGCATGATGTAGCCCACTCTGGAGGTCCAACTTCTTGCCCTGCTTTTTTTCCACTCTTTTATTTTTTCTTTTTTTTTCAACTTCCCACTTGAATTTATCCACCTTTAATACTGTCTTTGTAAGTTTGCATGACTTTGGTAGTTCTCCTAAGGTGTCTTGATTTTCATTCTTTCACCTAAGCATCACCATTAAGTGCCCTGTGTAAGTGATCTACATCTGGATATGTACTTGAGCATTACTCTTTACACTCACTGATGCAAATTACCTATTGGTAATTGTGGATTTGGGCTTTTTAGTCCTCCTCTTCAAACTGGAAAATATGGAAGTGTTAAAAACTTCATCCATTAACATTCAAATCAGATAAAGTCCTATCACTTTACCTGAGCTGGACACAGGAGTGAAGGAAAGGACTGATTACATCAGCTGAACCCCCAAAAGCAGAATTTTCTCTATCTAGAAAGATGCTATAAATTAATACAAAATTTTCAGGGAAGCATTAAAAAGCATTTTGTTAGGTATTAACTGACCCAATACCAAACTTTTGCTTGCAGGTACCACAACTTCCTGGCTTTTCCTGGCTGAAGCCCTGCATTTCAGCATCTGACATTGTGTACATTGGTTTGAGGGATGTGGATCCTGCTGAGTAGTAAGTTGGTTTAGGTTAAATGATTTTTGTAAAGGCTGAAATAATGAGCTTGAAATTATGTCCATAAGGCTTGCTAGATTTCAGTTTAAACCAGTAATGATTGTTTTTAAAAAATTATTTTCACAGTTACATTTTGAAGAACTTTGACATCCAGTATTTTTCCATGAGGGATATCGATCGTCTTGGAATTCAGAAAGTTATGGAAAGAACCTTTGAACAACTGATGGGCAGGTAACAAACTGTTACCTAATTTAAACTACTCTTGTTGAACATCTGGTTTCCTGAAAGTCATTTAAATGAAGGTCACTTGATGTAAGGTGGCTGTACGGAACTGTGACAGTGTCCTGTGTATAGGAAAGTCCAGCACTGGAACCATTTCACAGTCTTTGGCAGATGGCTGAGACAGGTTACATGACTCACTACAGTCATGGCTCTGTTTTATACTATTTGGTTATGTTAAGTAATTCTGCATTTTCTGCAGTTTGACAAGATGTTTGAATCAACTCAGAGTGCAGGATGCACATTATGCTTTTAGAAATACATACAGAAACTTGACAGTAACTTGAAACGAGCTGTTGGTATGGGAGGGAAGCATTTGATGGCTTCCTCCTTAGACCACTCACACAATGTCCTGATGGCAGCTGCCAGTGCCAGTGTAACTGGGAAAGTTCACTTTAACCACTCCCTTACTGCAGCTCACTACTGCACCCTTGTTCAAGTTTGGGGAACCAGGTCAGGGAGCAGCAAATCATGCTGGTCTAGGAGCTGAAAGAAGGTCAGTTAGAAAGGGTAACCTCTCCTACAGGTTAGAACCTGCAGCTGCAGGCTGCTGTTTTCTAAAGCTGTGCTCGCCCTTCCTAGCTGCAGCTGTGCCAAGTAAAGAAGATGATAATCCAGATGCTTTCCTTATTGAGCATCTGCAGAAAGTTGGAAGTACGCAGTCTGCCACTTCAGTAATTCATTTGAGTGACAAGCAGTGTCCAGTTTATTAAGCTGTCATCAGCTGGCAGATGATATAGTAAGTAACTAACATTTTAGGTTTGAGATTATATTTTACTACTTCAGCAGTTAGGCTACATGGCAGTGTTTGGACACAGCCTTTAAGAATTGACCTGAAAAATGCTCATCTTGATGAACTGTCAGTGAAATCCTTGAGCTCGGTGCTTCCTCCATCCTAGCTGCCATGCACATCAGTGTTTCAGCCTTCACCCTGGCTTTCTGTACAAAAGGAGAAAAGGCTGGATTGTATCATACACTTCTCTACATCATTCCACTAAGATGACAAATACCAGTTAATATGGTTTGAACTAAAGGACTTATCTTCAACCAAATCCTCGCTGAGTAGATGTTTAATGTATGTGAGACATGGTTCAAGGAGCTTGATGCTATTTTGCTGATTAGACTGGACAGTAAGAAATGCACACAGAAAACATTTAAGGATCTAAGATTGCTTTTTTTGTTTTATTCTGTCTCAGGAGACAGAGACCAATTCACCTGAGTTTTGACATTGATGCTTTTGATCCCTCACTGGCTCCAGCAACGGGGACTCCTGTTCTAGGTGGATTAACTTACAGAGAAGGCATGTACATCACAGAGGAAATACACAACACAGGTAGGAGCTGACCAGCAGTATGGGGCTAAGCAAGGACAGAACAAACTACCCAGAGCTCATACGGGCTATGTTTTTCCTGTGTAAATAGACAGTAAGTGTAGTCAAAGCAAAGGTGCCAGCAAAGTCAATTCTGCTTTCAGTAAGGGAGAAAGAAGTCCTGTGGTTGAGCACTTGCCTTGGTGTTGGAAGCAGCTTAGCCATCAACAACTTCAGCTTAGCAGAAGAAAATAAAATGCACAGTGTGTTAACAACTAACCTCAAAAATGTGTAATACTGTTCCCTAATCCTAAACACATAAGGTGAGATGTGAAAATGGGCATCTGGAATATAAAAATGGGTGCAAACAATCTTAAATAGTTTGAAGTTCCATTCTGAGATTCAAGACTAACAAATTGAGCTTTCATAAAATATACTGCAATTGACTCAATAGATGAGGACTTTTCATCTTATTCCATCAAGTTTTTATTTAATATGTTTAAACAGTATTATTTGCAGTAAAAGAAGGTTAAAAAAATCCCAACCAGACAATAGTCTATAAATTCATTAATAGGATGGCAAAAGAATACGATGTGAGAAAATTTTGTAACCCCTCATTTTTGGAATGTTTATGAAAACATTCCTCTCGTACAAAAGTGTATGGAACATCAAACGTTTTTCCTGAATGCTGAAAGCATGAATGAGTGAGGTAGTGATGACGTAAGAAAGAACCAAATTAAAAACACAACTTTGCATCTGAGAACAATAACCTCATCCCTCACATGAGAGCCAATCTTAGTTGTCTAAGGGGTAGAGTAGGTCACAAACCCAAATACCAGACTTGCTGCAATGAATAAAAGGCTGTGAACAAAACCTTGGAGAGGACAGTACCCTTTGTCAGAGTAACAAAGCTGCACATCATTTTCACAGGAATGCTTTCAGCTGTAGACATGGTTGAAGTCAATCCACTGCTGGGAGCTTCTCAAGAGGCAGTGAAAGCAACTGCTCACCTTGCAGTCGATGTGATAGCAACGTGCTTTGGGCAGACAAGGGAAGGTGCACACATTGCTTTCGATGAACTCCCAACACCCAGCTCTCCAGATGAATCTGACAGTGAAGAGCAAGTGAGGATTTAAGACCCCAAAGTGTTGGATATATTGGACACTACAGAGCTCTGCTGAGGCACTTGAGTGGATAGATTGTCAACACTTGGCAAATACTGTTAACTTCTCAATTTTTAAATAAACTAGCTTTTCCATTGATCAGTGGCTACTTTATTACATACCAAGATTTATTCATTTAGTTAAGTATATACAAAATGAGACAATAAAATATTTATTACCTTCTTATTAATCTTACCAGTAGTTCAAGCCTGTTTCTTTTTACTCCCATTCTCTGTCTTTCAAGTGTCAGTACAGTTTCTGTTGAATGTGCTGTCTCATGACTCAGTTCAACCCTCAGACAGTCAAAGGGAGCACACAGCCCATCCTGTTCCTCATCAGTGGAAAAGCTCATCTTGGTCACGAATGTTCATTTCTTGCGAAAGAACTTGAAGTAGATCACACCTCCTAGGATGGCCAGTTCCAGGATGATGATAATTGACAGCAACAACTTATTTGTGGTTACTCTAGAATTAAAAAATAAAAATCCAAGGTTTGTTTTTCATTCCACCTTGTTTATGAAAGCAGACTCTAGATCCAGATCAGCATTATCTTACCTTCCCTGTTTCAGCATGACCACACTGTGCTTTTCAAGAAGCTCTTAACAAGCAGAAAGGGCCAAACACAATAGTTCACTACTCATGTTTTCTTGGAAATCCTGTTTAAATCTCCTATTTCAGCAGTAGCAGTTCTGTTCCTCTTCCCCTGTCCCTCAGAAGGCAGATCATTGCTCTATATGTGCCTACTCCTCCAGTTAAGCAAAGAGGAAAACAATACGTGACATCCTGTGCTAAAACCCTCATTGTGGTGCTTTTATGTGAAGTATGTTGTTGAAGAAAAACTAAAATCTCTAAATAATTATGTACTTTTACTACTGAAAACTAGACAGTTATCACAACTTCCTTTAGCAATGGGCTCAAAGGAAAGGTTGTGAGGAGATAAGTACCTACTTACAATTTATGAACTTTTTAATTGAACAATACAGCTAAACTGCAAATCCACTTACGAAGCCAAGATTTTAGCCATCAAAACCGTAGATGGTCCGGCTCAGAGATTCGTGGGCCAGCCTAGGACTAACTGCTCTAGGGCATTAGCTGGTGTGGGCTAAACAGATTTGTCTGTGTCATCAGGCGTCTAACTCGCCCAGTGCTGCAGTGATTTATGGTACAGCTCTCCCCAACCCAAATGCGTGGCATCTGAAGGCACAAGGAGCAATTGACTGTAACTTCTGTCCTCACCACGGTTTGGATGGTTAAAGAGCCCACATCATCCTGATCAATAGCCTGTACTCCATTAAGCAATTACCAAAGAGGAAAACACACAAATTAGCATCTGCATATGGGCACATACTCTGTTTACACATTCCCTAAAATGTCTCAGCAGTCCCAGCTGATACTCTTTTCCCCTCTAAATCCAGCAGTGCCTCAGGCTGCTGTCAGTCACACCACTCACCTCCGGGACATCGAGCGTAGAATCTTGCGACTCTTGCTCAAGTTCTCACTTGTATTCACCAGCTGAAGAGAGACAGAAGTTACTTGTCACTTAAACAAACACACATCAGCTCTGGGAACATGCACGTGAAAGCAGCTGGTGTTGAAATGTTGCAATGAATTATAGACACAACGTTGTTTTCTACCCACAATACCAGGTGGAAGCATTTCCTCTTTTCTAATGAGAAATCGGGACTTTTGTGTATACTTTCCCTTAGCTATATACAAAGATAAGCAATTTGAGACCACTTTCTGCCTCTAATTAATATACAAATATCAGAAAGTCGGTATTAGCTTCTTTCATTAAGTTTCATTTCATTATTCTAGTTGTTAACACTAGAAGAAAGTGATACTGATGTGTTCACTCAGTGCATATCAAACTGTTTGAAATGCAGCTCAAGTTCTATCAAAGAACTGTGTTGTAGTGACAGGTCTAAGTGACCCAGTGGGTACAAGCTCTGAGCTGTTAATGGATAATCCATTTCAGCTTTGTATTGCTCAGAAATGAACTTCCCAGCATACCTAGTCAGCTATCAAGTATCAAGAAGCATGTAATGAAGTGAGGTTATAGACTAAAAAGGTGTTGCTTCACAGATATGATTCATGATGCATGGCCACTGATCCCCCGGTAGAATTTCACTTTTCCACTTCCAAACATTCTAGGGAAGTGAAGGGTAAACCAGGTCACTTATATCACAGACTGCACAATTCCTCTGTAGTTTAACACATGACCCTCAACTACAAAACTACTTGTATGTTTCTTTGCACTGAGATGGACTGGACAAAACTGGGAAGGAAACTATCAAGTCCATTTGGAGCTTAGCAGATTTCAAATCTTCACTATGAAAGAACAAGTAAGAAGAAAGTCTGCTTCCAGTTGGAATGTGTGGTTCACATAATTCCACAATTCACTGCCTAAGAGGCTCACAACAGATGTCACAGATACAGTTTAGTGATGAACACAGCAGTGACGGGTTAATGGCTGGACTTAATGATCTTTGAGGCCTTTTCCAACCTAAACAATTCAATGCTTCTATGAACAGTCTGTTGAGAGACTATGATGCCTGAAGGACTGTACTATTTTTTATTAGCTAAAGGACAAAAACAATACCTACAAAACTTAAGATCAATTTCCTTTCCCGCTTTCTAATCCAAATTTTGGAACAGGACAAATCAAATTCTGACTGAAATGACAGAACTACTTAAATGAAAAAGCTACAGGCTTTGTTGCAATGAAAGAACTCCCAAGAGCAGGGGAATGCTTTTTGTTTTGGCTGAGTGGGCTTAATTGCCAAACTCAGTGTCTCCTGAAGTCAATCACCTAAAATCTTTACACTTGGAATCCCTTGCACACACAAAATCCTGTCAGTTTCTTAGTTCAAAAATCATATTGTTAGTTTTGCATAGTGTATAAACAAAACAAGTAAACTAGTTTTTGAGGCTTTTGCAACAGAAGCAGAGCCTCTTGAACCAAGGATGAGGAATAGGCATCTTGTTCCACAACATTTTCTCCCTCCCTGCAAATATTGGAAAGCTAGTGATTAAGTAATCATTCTTCTGCTAAATCTCTTTGCATTACAAAAACAAAAACTTGCTAACTGCTTCCAAAATCTTAACTTTTACTAGTAATCTAGTCACAAGGCAAATCATCAACAATTTTGTAATCTGTAACTTTTTCATTAATGCTATTTTTTCCTAGCAAATCTATAGGTCTAATCTCCCATCTTGCACAGACACAGCAGCAGACATCTGACCACCATGGGTTTTGACCCTTCTAATTATTCTTTTATGAGAACAAATAGAAACGTGGCAGCCTGAATTTGGTCTGTAGAAATACCCAATCAGATTACTACACCTAGGAAGAGAGTAATTACTGGCATACAGTTCCTACTAAAGTAACATCAGATTGTTTCAAAGCAGTGCCCAGTTTCCTGCTCACCCTGCTCTTGGTGCGTTCCAGCTGCTCCCGCTGCTCCCCAAGTTCCTCGATGATATCTGTGCCAATCTGATCGGTTTCAGCAGCGATTCGGTGCGAGCGCTCGATGCTCTCACTGGCTCGGTTCAGACTGTCTGTGCCCTGGAGAAGCAGCACCCTCTGTGACTGCAGATTAGTCTGAAAAATATTGGATGTGTAACTATTATGCACAAAGACAGAAGTATAAGGCTTCTGACATTAAAAAGTTTAAATGTAACTCCACAGGCCATCCATCTGTATCAGCTGTACGTCTTACGTTAACTGATGCAGCCCAGTTAATTTTGGCTGAGCCCTGTTCACTTTGTAAGATTATGGCCAAATCTGGGTAAATTTCAAAAAAGGATACAGCACTAAAGAGTTAAAACAGTTCAAAAAAATTTTCTTTGTAACAATTTACTCTTCCATCAAAGAACATTTACATGAAAATAGTATCTTTCTTTTCCAGATGCTAACTTTTTACTTCCATTCACATCTAAAGTCAGCCTTGAGACTTCACAGTTGGTTGCCAGGGAGATAATTAAGAGTTTACAGTCAAAAGGATTAGGAACAAACAGCACTAACAGATGGACTGCTAAGTAACAAAGATCTTCTTTTCATGCCAGTAGCCTGGGCTAGAGGATAAAGAATGTTTGCTGACCTTGGGGTCAGAAGGTAGCTCAAAATAAAGTGTTTTCTTAAGCTTCAGAAAGCCTAATCTATCACCCTGCTCCCAGGTTTTAGAGTAATCAGTCAAAAGGAATCAAATGCAAAAATTTCCTAAGCTACAGCAGAAGGAAATACTAAGCAAAGAACCTCCCTCAAACCATCCTCATCTAAGGCAGAAAAATGAAAAGCCCACCTCCATGAACTTTCTGTAGGGATCACAGCACTTTGAAGACAATAAAGAGATTCAGTTTCACTGGCTCAGATGTCTCTAAGCCTATCTGGTACCAAGAAATTGGTGTACTTTGTAGCAGCAAAACCATAGTGAAAAAAGTGCTAGAGGAAAAATCCTTGTATTTTCTTGAAACTATTTACACTAAGATCACTTAAAAGATAATTCTACCAAAGAACCTATACAATGCATGATTCACACTTTGCTAGTTTTGGAGATTAGAACTAGGTGAGTTAACTTTTTATTAAGTAGCAACACTTCTGTGTTTTCCCTTCTGTAGGGGAATGATTAAATGAAGAGTTTCAGTACAGAATGTTGTGCAAATTACTAGTCACATGGCTTTCAAGGAGTTCAGTTTTGATTACATTACTATCTTTGTTTTAGAACAGAAAAGCTCTCCTCTGAGTTCCAGGTGTTCTTTGCCCTCCCTGAGATATTCATGTTACATGCAGAGAGATGTACAGTGAGTTATAAAAGCACAGAGGTGGTTTAAAGTAGAAACACTGTAAACAACACATCTGCGCTACTGCTTGTGCACAATCACAGCCAAGTTAAATACAATTTACATCTGATCCTCACACTCTGCTCATTTTCTGTGGCGAAGATTCCGTATTTTGTATCGCCTTGGTTTCCACGGCCCAATCCCAGATCTGTGCTTTTCATCTCTCTCTGGAACATGGACAGGTCTCTTCTGTATGCTCGGATTTTGCTCATCATTTGATTGCGGAAAGGCACAGGAGCGTACTTCAGTTCTTCCTCCATTTCCCGCAGCTTTAACAAAAGAAAGCATGTTTATTCTTTAAAACATCAAATCTATTCCCAGCAGCAGCTGTACTCAAAACTCAGCACCAAATGAAGG